GTGCTGTTTGGATTCGATTCCTACCATAACATTTGCTCAAAATTTTATTCGACAACGACGCCCGTCATTTTTAAATCGTGGGTTGCCTATGTAATGATGCCCATGGTATTGTCAAACATGGAGGCAGGTGTTGTCACCAACAAAACCACTCCAAAATAAGGGTTTAGAAAGAGGCACAAAAAAGATTGGCTCCCAAATAATGTGTCGCATATGTACGTGAAAAGTTGTCTTTAGCTTTACCTCTTGAGATAAGAGAAAGAAGCGAGCTTATAGACTGTCCAATTAGGACACAGCATTTTAGATCAACTGTATCAATTTAATTTTATGTTCCAACTAGAAGGCAGCAATTATAAAAGTTTAAAATTACAAAGACGATATGAAACTTTTTTCAAAAAAAGGAAAAAAAAGAAAGAAGAAAAAAGGATGGATTGATTTAAATGTAATAACGACATAGACATAATGACCCCCAACTATTAATGGAGATAATTTTAAACCATTTCACATAGTTTATGAACAAATTTAACCATTTTCTCTATATTATTTTATTGCTCACTTTTCAGTTCTCTTATTTTTTTTTTTATTTTTTTTTTTTTCTGTTTCTATCAATTGATGGTTGAATAATGTGGTGATTCACACAAGAAAGAAATAGCTGATATATTTTGTTACTATATTTTCACCCTCTTCTTGCCTTTTGTGGTCTTTTTATTATTACAATATCTTAATTAAGAAAAATTGAACTTTTTATTTTTTGTAATTAGTTAGATTTTTATTACCAAAATTGAAGTTATGTACAATATACAAACACCGAATGTTGGACATCAAATCTCAACCTTCGGTCTAAGCTTAGAAACTAAAATAGCAAAAAGATCATCTCGATAACAAAAGTAATTAGGCTGGGTAGTAGTTTAAGCTCTTCAACCACTTTGCAATCTTCACCTTCATTGAACCTCTAAAATGGATTTTCTGAGCTATATGTCTAGCCAGTACCTCAATACTCTGTTGCTTGCCTTGAAACACTCTATAATTCTTTTGCATCCACACATGGTAAACAACCGTTGCTAGTAGCATTCTATATACCTCAGCTCTTGGACTGCTCCCACTAGCATATTGCATCGCCCGCTGTTGTTCATCTTCCCGGGCCATTGGATTTCTAGTGACACCTATCCAGTTAAGCAGCTTCTTCCAGAGTTGTGCAGTGGTCTCATGTAAAGAATAAATGGGCCAAGCTTTCATGGTCTTGCTCACATAAGGGATCACAAAATTGATCTTGAGCCCCACCCCACTTGAATAATCTATCTCTTGTATACAATTTCCCAAATGCATCCAATCTCAATATGAAAATCCATTTGGATAGACCTCGGTCGTTACACACAAGTTTTCTACCTCATTCAATATTGAACTTTAGTAATAAGAAAGCTTCACATAAGTTATGTTAGTTATGTAACGGTAAAAATTATGTTGACATCAAATCGAATTTTTTAATTTTAGTAATTAAAAATTACAGTGAACATGCAAAGTGATACGTGTACATAAGGTAAGGCACTTGCATAATTAATTTGAAATAAACACCATATATAATTGTTTTTTTAAAAATTTCTCATAATTAGTCGTTAGAATGGACAATAGATAGGATTATGATTTATGCCTGTGATAAATTAGTAATTTTTACGTAAGTTAGAGTGGAAACAAATATTGTTTACATAATTTTGGATAATTTGAATCGAAAACGGAATCTGTTCGCCGTCGTTGCCAATAGCCTATATCCGTCTATAATCCCTATCTTATCTTTGTCCAATTGGAAAAAAAGTTAAAATATCATATCATATATGACAGAGCAAAAGTTGTCTAAATAAAGCGCAGATTTCGGCTTAAGATTTCCTTTTAAAAGTGGGAATTGGGAATTGACACCTCTAGTAGTACAAAACAATGAACACTCAGTATTCAAATTGTAACTGGTTAGAGGAGATAATATCCTCTTGTTTTTAAAGATTTTTACACAAATAGACGCTGGATTCATTACTTACTTTTCTTAAATGATATACATATATTATACATATATTATATATATATTATGCGTATACTATATATTTATCGGCTTATTTTTAATTTAAATGAATGAATAAGCGGTTATTTAAATCTTGAGTTTTTATCGCTTATAAATGGACTGGCCTATACTTTCAACATGTGACAATTTCTCCTCCCAAGCCCACCATGGTCCTGTTTTTACTTTATCTTTACTTTTTTGCTTTAACTTAGATAAGAAAATGACATTGTATAGTTACTCTCAAAATAATAGCTGAAATATATATACATTATATATGTTATATACAAAATTATATAAATTTTATACACTTTTTCAATTACCGAATATAAATAGTTTCTGAATAGGGCTTAAAAACAAAATCCTTACATAATTGTAGTGCACTTTTTTTTTTTTTTTTTTTTTTTTTTTTTTTTTTTTTTTTTTTTTTTTTTTTTAATATATTAGACTTTCAAGTTTCCTCCATGAACTTTGTTCTCACTTTGGCACAACTATAAGAAAATTTGTCTCCACTAAAAGAAAAGGTCTACTGATAGTAACAGTTCGTTTCACCAAACTTTTAAAATCAATTTATTTCGTTTTTTTCTTTTTCAAAAAGTGTTTTTAAGAAAAAAATACTTTTAAAAAAAAATATTTTTGATCAAAAAAAGCTTGATCAAATAGACTATAAACATCTTTGTATTATCTATGACAATACATGTAAGTGCACGGTTCACCCGAGAGGATGATGCAATCTTTCATCAATATATTCACTCGAGAGGATGATGCAATCTTTCATCAATATATTCAACTGAATCCATTATTTTCGGCACAAAAACACGCGCACACACACGCACAACCACACACACAAC